ACCGTCAATTGTCAGAGGATGGATCGGCACCGATCAGTGCCCAGCAGTGCCACCCACAAGTGCCCAGCAGTTCCAACCACCTGTGCCCAGCAGTGCCACCCATCAGTGCTGCCCATTAGTGCTGCCTATCAGTGCCCATCATTGCTGCATATCAGTGCAGCATCATCAGTGCCAGCTCATCAGTGCCACTTTTCAGTGCCGCCTATCCATGCCGCCTATCAGTGCTGCCTATCAGTGCCCATCAGTGCTGCCTATCAGTGCCACCTCATCAACACACATCAGTGAAGGAGAAAATGTACCTGTTTGCAACATTTTATAATAGAAACAAAGATAGATGTTTATAGCACAAAAAAATAAAACACCCAGCGGTGAGTAAATACCACCAAAAGAACGCTCTATTTGTGTGAAACAAATGATCAAAATTTCATATTGGTACAGTGTTGCATGACCGTACAATTGTCATTGAAAGTGTGACAGCACTGAAAGCTGAAAATTGGCCTGGGCATGAAGGGGGTATAAGTGCCCGGTAGGCAAGTGGTTAAGAGAAGTATAGACTCCAGAAAGTCAGATATGATTTCACCCTTGTATAAATCATTAGTAACACCTCATCTGGAATATGCAGTTCAGTTTTGGGAACCAATTCACAAAAAGGATATCGGGGAACTGGAGAAAGTGCAGAGAAGGGCAACCAAACTGATAAGAGGCATGGAGGAGCTCAGCTATGAGAAAAGATTAGAGGAACTGAATTTACTCTCTCTTGAAAAGAGGAGATTAAGGGGAGATATGATCAACATGTATAAATACATAAGTGGTCCATATAGTGAACTTCGTGTAGAGTTATTCACTTTGAGGTCATCACAGTGGACAAGGGGGCACTCTTTACATCTGGAAGAAAAGAGATTTAGTCTCAAATATGGAAAGGTTTCTTCACAGCAAGAGCTGTGAAAATGTGGAATAGACTCCCTCAATAGCTGGTTCTAGCCAGCTCAGTAGATTGCTTTAAAAAAGGCCTGGATTCTTTCCTAAATGCACATAATATAACTGGATACTAACATTTATAGATAAAATTGATCCAGGGAATATCCAATTGCTTCCTGGTGGAATTGTGCACATACACTATATTGCCAAAAACATTGGGGCACCTGCCTTTACATGCACATGAACTTTAATGGCTTCCCAGTCTTAGTCTGTATTGTTCAATATTAAGTTGCAACTTTAACAGCTTCGATTCTTCTAGAAATTCTGTCCACAAGGTTTAGGAGTGTGTCTATGGGAATGTTTGACCATTCTTCCAGAAGCCCATTTGTGAGGTCAGGCACTGATGTCGGATGAGAAGGCCTAGCACGCAGTCTCTGCTCTAATTCATCCCAAGGGTGTTCTATTGGGTTGAGGTCAGGACTCTGTGAAGGCCAGTCAAGTTCTCCCACCCCAAACTCGCTCATCCATGTCTTTATGGACTTGCTTTGTGCACTGGTGTGCAGTCATGTTGGAACAGGAAAGGGCCATCCCCAAACTGTTCCCACAAAGTTGGGAAATTGTCCAAAATGTCTTGGTATGCTGACACCTTAAGAGTTCCCTTCATTGGAACTAAGGGGCCAAGCCCAACCCCTGGAAAACAACCCCACACCATATTCCCCCCCTCCATCAAACTTTACACTTGGCACAATGCAGTCAGGCAATTACTGTTCTCCTGGCAACTGCCAAACCCAGACATGTCCATCAGATTGCCAGACAGAGAAGTGTGAATTGTCACTCCAGAGAACACAGTGACCACTGCTCTAGAGTCCAGTTGTGGTGGGCTTTACTCCACTGCATCCAACGTTTTGCATTGCACTTGGTAATATAAGGCTTGGATGCAGCTGCTTGGCCATGGAAATCCATTTCATGAAGCTCTCTAGGCACTATTGTTATGCTAATCTGAAGGCCACAGGAAGTATGGAGGTCTTTAGCTTTTGAATCTGCAGACAGCTGGCGATTTTTGTGTACAGTGTGCTTCAGCATGCGCTGACCCCTCTCTGTCATTTTACGTGGCTGCGAACTGCTGTTGTTCCCAGTTGCTGTTGTGGTGTGGCACTGGAACTCAGAGTCAGCATAACTTCTCTGCGCTTAGTCTCTAGTAGTAGTAGTTTAATCATGAAACCAAACCACTAACTGCCAGAAGTGGCCATCGGATGCCCAACCTGGCTCTAGCCCAGGGCTTGAAAAATGCGAGGAGAAATTCTCTAGCGGCAAGCACAGATGATGGAGCGGCTGCGCTCCAAGCCTCATTATGAAGCCGAGTTCCAGTTTCCGAGTTCCGGTTTCCTGCTTCTTCGGCACCGCCACTGAGGGGACAGGTGCAGGAGAGGTCCGCTCTCCTCCGCTGAGAGGAGACACCCTCTCCACTGCCAGTGAGTGTGATTGCACCCAGACACCCAGTGAGTATGATTGACGAATCTTTCTCGTTTCACCTCCAAAGAAGCCTGTGTTTACTGTGTTTCCATGGACTGTCTTAACTGGTATTTAAATTACGCAAATGCATACTGCATGGCCTTTTTAACTTGTAAAGGCAAGGTGCAGTTTTTTTAATATTACTAGAAAAAAGGTTTGCTTTAATGTCTTGTCCCCTAAGCAAGGCTTACCCCCGGTCACATCAAAGCCGGTTTTGAAATCGTGCGACTTACAATGAAGTTGCCCAATTTCAAAATCGGGTGATCTGCTGATTTCATTGCAATTTGCAAGACATCTGTACTACTTTAGAAATCGGTGCGGTTTCCGAACAAGTTGCAACTGCACTGATATGATCGCTGTAATAGCGCCCAATAGGGTGCGACTTGACATACAATTTGCAAGTCGCATGGCATGCAAATTGCAATGCAAGTCACACACGATGTGACCGGGGGGTGTTACTGGCCTTTCTTTCCCCTAACCACCTCTACTCCAAAGGTAGTACGGACAGGTGGAGGTAGAGTTGTCTCTACCACTTTTCAGTCCCCAGGAGAAAAAATGTATTTCAGGTATGGAGGAGCTTTTGACTCAGTCAGCAGCTCTGTCACATGGGGAGAGTAAGCCAAGATTTCAGTAACTCCTAATGATTACTGTATACATGTCATATCACTATAATGGAGTACGGGGGAGCTGGGATATACATTACTGTATACAATTTTATATTTTGGACTCTTTATTCTAAAGAAAAATGTAATTTCATAAGATTTAAAGGGGGAGTGGTTTGGGGCATGGTTGGGGGCAGGGCTGGGGGCAGGGTTGGGGACGGGCTGGGGTGGGGTTGGAGGCGGATCTGGCCAAGGTTGGGTGGGGCATTTGGTGGAGAGTAAGGTTTGTGCCTGGCTAGTAGGTCTAGACTCAAAATTTTAAGCCCTGCTCTAGCCTATGCTTAATATAGAGCTCTGAGCTAAAACTAGCTATAGAATCCCAGACCAGAAGGGGCAATAAACAAGTTCACCTACTAATATACTAGAAGGTGACCACTACACATATGCAGTCACAGAGACGCAGCTCTCTGGCAGTGTGCATGTGAGATAATAACTATAGGACAGAGATACTGTCACAAGGATTAAGATACACACTCAAGAAGCTATGGGCAGCTGCAGTTAAACTATTAGAACATAGGAAGACTTGTACAGTGCTTCTGGTCTGGGTGAATACAGCAGCAACAGCTCCTGTGTGCATAAGGTCATGTGGCTCAGTTCCTCTCTCTCTTATCACTTTCTCTTTCTGGGGGTTTTAACCCAGTCCCACAGAGACAGGAAATAATGTATATAAATGTAGAACCCTCTTAGATAGGTGCTAGGATGTAGATAGTTGGGTATAGCATAATATGATCTTTTGCTTAACAGGAGATTGTTAGGCAAATTTAGTGGCTCTCACTGCTTAGCAGAACTGCATATGTTTAGCTAGTTCATCCTTTGTGCTTCTGCATCTGGGTGAAGGTTCATCTGTATCCTGATAACCAAGGAAGGTTCTGGATTGACAGTATGGGACCATGCAGGTGGGCAATATGAATATAGCTTCAGCCAATTACAGGAAGTGGTGCCCCTGAGCATGCTGGGTGCTGGTATTTTTATTTACATAGGATCTGGGTTCTTCTTCTCCTGAGAGCAGGAGTTCCATGTGTATACTGCCAGAAGGCATGTGGGTGACCCAAGGGCCATAACGCTGAAACCCAGGGTGCTTCTGAGAGCTGACTGAAGGGATGTCTACACACCCTGTCTGGTATCACAGAGGAAGGTGACCTGCAGCAAAGGACATGTGAGTACAGACCATTCAAAAGGGATCATGGGACTGGTGCTGTTTAACTCCCTTGGGACCTTCAGTACATAGTCAGCTGCTGGGTGTAAGCTAAAGAGGACACTGGCTGGTGTCCCAAAGAGCAACTGTCCATTTAGTTTCTACATTTCTATAGAAGGACTTTGCTCCATTCTTTGTACCGCCTGCTACACAGTTCTACTAAGAAAACCCACAGATCCACTTAGAGAAAGATGTCCTCATTATTTCAGTTCGGAGTATCCCACTAAATAAAAACAACAAAAAAAAAAAAACTACAACCCCCTACACTGATCATTGGAGTGACGAGAGCGGATGTTGTGTGCTTGGCTGTGAGTGAAGATTTGGTGGAAGGCCTGGGCAAAATACCAGCGGCTCTTCATGTTTCACATGACTGTCATATGCCTTTAAGTGTTCTTTGTATTTTGTCTCTGCTCCTCCCTTTCCTTTGGTTTGTTAATACTGTATAGATAGCCCCACCCTTTTGATCATTTCCCAGTAATGCATTTCAGCTTCTAGCCTCATGTCCTTTTGAAGCAGATCACATTATGATCTTTTGACCTATCCGATGTGCATTGTTGTAAGATTCTCTCAGTTTATGGAATAAACTTCACAAGATCTACAAGGTGTCATCTGGATCGAGTCACTGCCTGTGTTATTCAACTAAAATTGGAGTCACAATTGTAAGTTACAGAGATCACACTTTCAATGCTTAGATTGGAGAGACAGAACAGTCAAAAGATCAGTGAAATGTCTTCATAGGATCCTTGCTAGCTTTGGATACACAATGAGATGTTATATGGACACAGGATATAACAGCTAACAGACAGTGCAGCCATCTCTACACAAGTCTTTACATGTCAGCAACAGGGGTGGACTGACCATTTGGGAACTCGGGCAATGCCCGAGGGCCCGGGGTCAGTAGGGGCCCTATGAGATGCCCCTGGTACCTTTCTTAGGCTTTTTTGAGTGTAGTTTGAGCGTGGGCGAGGACACAGGGGCCCCATGATCTCCTATTGCTCGGGGGCCCCATGAGTTGTCAGTCCGCCCCTGGTCAGCAAGTATATCTAAGCATAACACTCATCCAGGGGCGGACTGACCATTTGGAAACTCAGGCACTGCCCAAGAGCCCGGGGTCAGTAGGAGGCCCATGAGATGCACCTGGTACTTTTTTCATAGGCTTTTTTGAGTTTGGGCAAGGACACAGGGGCCCCATGATCCCCTATTGCCCGGGGGCCCCATGAGTTGTCAGTCCGCCCCTGCACTCATCATTGTCAGGACAAATTATTGATGTGAATGTCTTACAACTGCAAGTTTATACACTGCATCTGTATGCATTAGCACATGGCTTGTCTTGAAATCTTATAAGAAAGTGAAAGAAAACTTTTCTGCAACTACTGCCAAGGAAACCTGAGCTCACCCACAGAAAAAATTGATACATTTCTCTGTAAACTTTCTAATAACCCCTCTCCTTGCTAACATGATGTTTCAGGAAAGTAATATATAGTCTGGGGAAACTAATACACAACCAGATCAGGACTTAAACCCTGAATCAGACAAAAGAGAAAAACGCTTAACAAAACCAACCTGGAAGGTGCAAGAGAATCTTAATCTTACTGACAAGGAAGAACTGCTGTCTAATATTAATGACTTATGGTCTAATATTGTTAAATGCATGTCTGCTCTCTCCCAACAAACTCATGAGCCAATACAACTAGAGGGCGCTATCCAGCAGTTGAATGTTGCTTATGAGAATTATCAAAGGCTATGTATTAAATATATTGCTCTCTTAAAGCGGTACAACACTCAAGGGTTATTGGAAGAATTTATGAGTTTTGAGGAGCTCAATCTTGAAAGAGACAATTTAGTGGTGTGAACAAAGACAAAGGCAGAAGTGAGAATAACACAGCTCCATGAATCCATATCTTATCGCTCTGCATCTACTAGACGCTCCTCAAGATTTTCCAAGTCCCTAAAATGAAGGTCTTCTACACTCAGTCAACAACTAATAAAGGCCCGTGCTGATGCTGAAGCTTCTAAAATTCAGGCAGCTTTCGCCCAAAAGAAAGCAGAAATGGAGGCTCAGGCCGCATATAAGAAAGCAGAAATGGAGGCTCAGGTCGCATATAAGTAAGCAGAAATGGAGGCTCAGGCTGTAGAAATGGAGGCTCAGGCCACATATAAGAAAGCAGAAATGGAGGCTCAGGGCGCATATCAGAAAACAGAGAAAGAACCTGAAGCCACATGCCAAAAGGCAGAAATTGAAGTTTTGGAAAAACAATGTGAGCATGCCACAGCCATGGCAAGGTTAAAGGTCTTAGAACAAGTTGCTAGTGAAAACGAAAGAGACAACAGTTCCAGACACTCAGTTGTATCTTATGTCTCAGATTCTTCACACACCTCTCCAGAACGTCAACTCCCTGTCACAGCAGCCAAAGTACTCAATCAAAGTCTCTTCTCTGCACCTACTGTACCTCAAGACGATTTGCCCTTATATCCTCCAATACATCAGACTGCAGCATCTCAGCTAGCCACAGGCACTGGTATGTATTTAATAGACCGTCCACCTTACTTTGGCACCGAGTACCTCCTAGCAAATGCACTACTCTACAAAGCAACATGCCAATGGACTTTAATGCAGCTCCGGTATTGAATGCCTTAGCAGCAACCTTTTGTTCCCAAGTCACTCGACGTAAGTCCACCAACCGTCACAACTCTGTCCCACCTGCAATCATGCACCCAAAAACTGAAAACATGGACATGTCACAGTTTGCTAAATACATGCTCCGCAGAGAGCTTGTTAAGACAGGCCTCACCAAGTTTGATGACAAGCCTGAAAATTACAGAGGCTGGAGATCCACTTTTAAGGCCACAGTCAGTGACCTAGACATCAATGCCACAGAGGAATTAGATATACTCATCAAATGTCTAGGTCCCCAGTCCACTGAACACATGAAGAGGCTCAAAGCAGTTCATATTGACAACCCTGCTGCAGGGCTTAATGTTGCTTGGGGCAGACTTGAACATACAGTCAGGTCCATAAATATTGGGACATCGACATAATTCTAACGTTTTTGGCTCTATACACCACCACAATGAATTTGAAATGAAACGAACAAGATGTGCTTTAACTGCAGACTGTCAGCTTTAATTTGAGGGTATTTACATCCAAATCAGGTGAATGGTGTAGGAATTACAACAGTTTGCATATGTGCCTCCCACTTGTTAAGGGACCAAAAGTAATGGGACAATTAGCTTCTCAGCTGTTCCATGGCCAGGTGTGTTTTATTCCCTCATTATCCCAATTACAATGAGCAGATGAAAGGTCCAGAGTTCATTTCAAGTGTGCTATTTGCATTTGGAATCTGTTGCTGTCAACTCTCAAGATGAGATCCAAAGAGTTGTCACTATCAGTGAAGCAAGCCATCATTAGGCTGAAAAAACAAAACAAACCCATCAGAGAAATAGCAAAAACATTAGGTGTGGCCAAAACAACTGCTTGGAACATTCTTAAAAAGAAGGAACGCACTGGTGAGCTCAGCAACACCAAAAGATCCGGAAGACCACGGAAAACAACTGTGGTGGATGACCGAAGAATTCTTTCCCTGGTGAAGAAAACACCCTTCACACAGTTGGCCAGATCAAGAACACTCTCCAGGAGGTACAGAAGGTGTATGTGTGTCAAAGTCAACAATCAAGAGAAGACTTCACCAGAATGAATATAGAGGGTTCACCACAAGATGTAAACCATTGGTGAGCCTCAAAAACAGGAAGGCCAGATTAGAGTTTGCCAAACTACATCTAAAAAAGCCTTCACAGTTCTGGATCAACATCCTATGGACAGATGAGACCAAAATCAACTTGTACCAGAGTGATGGGAAGAGAAGAGTATGGAGAAGGAAAGGAACTGCTCATGATCCTAAGCATACCACCTCATCAGTGAAGCATGGTGGTGATAGTGTCATGGCATGGGCATATATGGCTGCCAATGGAACTGGTTCTCTTGTATTTATTGATGACGTGACTGCTGACAAAAGCAGCAGGATGAATTCTGAAGTGTTTCGGGCAATATTATCTGCTCATATTCAGCCAAATGCTTCAGAACTCATTGGACGCCGCTTCACAGTGCAGATGGACAATGACCCAAAGCATACTGCAAAAGCAACCAAAGAGTTTTTTAAGGGAAAGAAGTGGAATGTTATGCAATGGCCAAGTCAATCACCTGACCTTTATCCGATTGAGCATGCATTTCACTTGCTGAAGACAAAACTGAAAGGAAAATGCCCCAGGAACAAGCAGGAACTGAAGACAGTTGCAGTAGAGGCCTGGCAGAGCATCACCAGGGATGAAACCCAGCGTCTGGTGATGTTGCGTTCCAGACTTCAGGCTGTAATTGACTGCAAAGGATTTGCAACCAAGTATTAAAAAGTGAAAGTTTGATTTATGATTATTATTCTGTCCCATTACTTTTGGTCTCTTAACAAGTGGGAGGCACATATGCAAACTGTTGTAATTCCTACACCGTTCACCTGATTTGGATGTAAATACCCTCAAATTAACGCTGACAGTCTGCAGTTAAAGCACATCTTGTTCGTTTCATTTCAAATTTGTTGTGGTGGTGTATAGAGCCAAAAATGTTAGAACTGTGTCAATGTCCCAATATTTATCGACCTGACTGTACCTTTGGCAGCCCACAGGCCATTGAAGATGCTTTATTCAAAATGTTGCAAAGCTTCCCAAGGATTTATGCTAGCGACAATCTAAAGTTTCAAGAACTCAGCGATGTTCTATTAGAGCTTCATCTTGCTTAGGCTGACATCAATTTACCTAGTCTCAGTTACCTTGACACCTCTCGCGGCATCAAATCTATTGTTCTCAAGCTACCTTATGGAATTCAAGAAAGATGGGCAGCGCTTGGATCAATGTATAAGGAAGAACATAGGGTTGCCTTTCCTCCTTTTTCCTACTTCTGCGAGTTCATCAAAAGAATTGCAGACACTAAGAATGACCCAAGTTTCTCATATGGGAACTGTAACCTTCTCAGTACACTCTCCCCAAGACCTACAAATACATGTATGTCACACAGAGACCATAGAGGTCCAGCGTTAGTGAAAAGGACTAATGTTCTACCTGCGCCTGCTACAGTTCTTGAAAAGACTGATCAAAACAAAAAAATTGAGGACCCAAATTGCCAATGTCCAATACATAACAAACCACATCCACTTAAGAAATGTATCGGCTTCAGAAAGAAAACCCTCCAAGAATGTAAGAAACTTTTGAAGAAATTTGGGGTTTGCTACAAATGCTGTGCCTCCACAGAACACTTTGCAAAGAACTGTAAAGCAATCATCAAATGTATAGAGTGTGACAGTGATGACCATGTGCAAGCTCTTCATCAATATTCGCGCTACTCTACTACGCTCACAAACACCCTTCCTGAGGCAAAGCAAGGCGGGGAGTGCCCAGGTCAAGCAGCACCTACCACCCCAGTGTTCTCTACATGTACAGGGGTCTGTGGAGAAGGATTCTGCGACAAATCCTGTGCAAAGATATGCTTGGTCCGTGTATGCCCTAAAGGTCAACCTGAAAAGGCCATAAGACTGTATACTATTCTGGATGATCAGAGTAACAGATCTCTTGCAAGAACACAGTTTTTTGAACTGTTGAACATAACTGGAGATTCCCTGCCTTATACCCTAAGCACTTGTGCCGGCACTACAGAAGTCTTAGGTAGGAGAGCCAGTGGTCTTGTAGTTACTCCTCTGAATGACAATGTGGAAATATCTTTGCCCAATATCAATAAGTGCAACCAGATTCCAAACACCAAAGAGGAGATCCCTACTCCTGAAGCAGCTTTTCACCATTCTCACTTAAAGCACATAGCCAACCGAATACCAGCCCTCCATGAAAGTGCCGATATCCTGCTGTTACTCGGTGGAGACATCCTAAAGGTGCACAAAGTTCGTCATCAAATCAATGGTCCACACAATGCACCATATGCTCAATGTTTGAATCTAGGATTGGTCATCATAGGCAATGTCTGCCTAGACAAATACAGAAGGTTCTACTCAGTCTCTTCCTTTAAAACACATGTCCTGTGAAATGGACAAACAACTTGTTCTGCACAATGACCACATAAATATATCGTGAAAGAAAGACTGTTTGAAAAAGGTGCACAACAGCCCATCATGCAAGACAATAAGAAAAGTCCTAATCTCTGGGATGACAACATCGGCAACACAGTTTTCGAGGTAACCACTAAAGACAATAAGTTGGC